AATTTTTTTTATTAAATAAAGCCAGGTTAATTTAAACATATTTAATTTAATTTAGTTAAATCAAAGCAGTTATAGTTTAACATTCTTTGAAATAGATTTAAAATATATCAAATTGGTTTCAAATTGTTTTTGCATCAAATCCGAATCAGATTCAGATTCAAATCAGATTGAATAAATCAAATTTGAATTCAAATCAAATTGAATCAAACTGTTATGGTTTCGAATCAGATTGGATTAGTTTAAAATAAATCAGATTCATATCTGATTCATATTTATAAAAATCGGATTGAATTGAATCTAGTTAAATCCAATCCAATTCGATTCATTGTGATCACTACTGGCTATGGGTACTCAAAATAATAATAATAATAATAATTTTATCCATTAATTGAAATCTTACTTATATAATTTGAATATACTGTATATCTTTTCTTTTTTACTAATTTAATTTTTTTTTAGCATTAAGAATTCTTTTACTGATCTTTTGTTTATAATAAGGTAGTAATAGTTGCAAGGTAAATGATTTTTCAAAGAAACCATCCTATTGATACTTTCTTTGATAATATATAGGTTGACAATTTCGAAAATAGATTTTTCATGTTCTGCTACTTATCTTCAATAAAGTTTCACTTACCAGCATTAAAAAAAAATATGTTGCAAAACAGTATTCAATAATAAAAGTTTAATTATATTTTTACTTCCATTCACTATAATATCACTAATCAAGTAAATATATACGCGAAGCAATATCTCCAACGATCCAATCCATTCCACCGAGCAAATTTTCACCAGTGACTGCACTACAAGCCTGAATAGCCCAATGATGAGTTATTATCGAATCCAGATCAAGCCCCTATATGTTTTTTTTTTTAAAAAACTGGATACCACCCAAGAATCAAATATTAAATAGGTAATATTGCAATTACCTGGCGAATCTGTTGATCAGACATTGCACCCGGGAGATCTTGTTTATTAGCGAATACCAATAATGAAGCACCTGCTAAGCGCTAAATTTTATGTGAACGCAACATTCGTTTAAAAAAAAATCAATCGATCAATGCTGCAATTTTACCTCTTCCTTCAATAAAGCCTTTAATTCATTTTTACAATCCTCCAAACGCATTCGATCCGTACTATCTACGACCCAAATAACTCCATCTGTTTGTTCAAAATAATTACGCCAATATGATCTAATAGATTTTTGTCCTCCAACATCAAATACGTGCAATATGAAACTTTATAACGTTGAAAGAGCAGTAATATCGTGAGCTCATAACGTGGTGTTATGAAGAAAATATCGCAAATGAAACTAAATTACTTGTCATGTTCTAGAGTTTTGATATTAAAGCCAAGAGTTGGTGAGATTGTGTTAATATCTTCACCGTTTAGACGTTTTATGATCGTTGTCTTTCCAGCATTGTCAAGACCGCTAAACGTTCATTTTGCCGTTAACCGAATTACTTGTTTTAAGAGGATTTCGCTAGAATACATACAGCACCAACAATCTCATCTCCTTCTCTTTCTGACGAATTTTCCGCAGGATAGATAATAACCCCATTTCAAGAAATAAGATATCAGGACTACTGTATAATGTGGATTTCCATAAATTATATCGTGTGTAACAACGGAAATGTCCCATGACTAATATTCTTATTAGCACGAACACGTTGTGATAGCAGATAACAATGATACCATACTATGCCGATGATATTAATTTAAGACGATAGTAACAATGGAGCGAACGATCCTCAAGGAAGAACAGAAAGTCGCTGCCGTAAACTGAATAAAATAGTATCATATACATATAATAATAATTGCAATTAAATTATTGAAATACAGTGCTTATCTTATAAAATTGATATCAGATACAATATAATAAAATTTCAATTATAAATTAGGAACCATTGAATAATAGAAAATTACACAAAAAACTAGAT